AGTCCACACGCCCCGCTCTCCCCTTGTGTTTATGCAAGAGGTTTCATGTGCCCCTGGTAGGTATATGTGCATACAATCTGCAGGCCTCTATATTGAGATACGATAAGATACGATGAGATAAGACAAGATAACACAAGATAACACAAGTTAGGATAAGATAAAGAAAGATGATACTTTCTTGTCTCGGTGGGAAATGTTTCTGCTGTAGAGGAAAGGTAAAAAAAACCCCCAGATGTAGGTATACCTAGAATTTAAATCATAGATTCTATATTACTTTCATGAAACATGAGGAGAAACGTGAAGCTGGCAATAAAACACACACACACAAACACACACACACACACACACACACACACATACACACACACACACACATACACACACACGTCTCAGTTTACTCACCGCACAGTCTGGGAGGCTGGAGAAAAAAACAAACCCAACAAAAATATTAGGTTCTGTAGTCACAGGGTCAACAATACAGCATAGGACAGAACGCCAGTCGCAACTGGTCGCTATTAAGGACAAGCGGGCTAACCCAGATTTCGAGGGTTTCCAGAAATCTTGACCTACACCAAAAGTGGGCAAGGCTTTACCTATAGGAGTAGTTTGGTTTCATTGGGGTGTATATGTGTTTGGTTATAGAGAAAACTCTCCTGGTCTTATAAAGAAACTGAACACAGGGGGAAAAACTTCACCTTCGATTTTCTCAAAACAGCATTTTTCGGGATAGCCACCTTGAGCTTAAAAGCAACCAACTGTCCTGACAGCCCCCCTTCGTTGACGAGAACAGTGGTCGTCTCATACAGGTGAGTGTCTTGGACAGTGCCACGAGGACAGTAAAAGAAACGGAAAGTGAAGGTGGGAAGTGGGAAGAGGGAAGTGGGAAGAGGGAAGTGGGAAGTGAGAAGTGGGAAGTGAGAAGTGAGAAGTGAGAAGTGGGAAGTGGGAAGTGGGAAGTGGGAAATGGGAAGTGGGAAGTGGGAAGTGGGAAATGGGAAGTGGGAAGTGAGAAGAGGGAAGTGGGAAGTGGAAAGTGGAAAGTGGAAAGTGGGAAGTGGGAAGTGGGAAGTGGAAAGTGGAAAGTGGGAAGTGGGAAGTGGGAAGTGGGAAGAGGAATGTGGGAAGTGGAAAGAAGGAAGTGGGAAGTGGGAAGTGGAATGTGGGAAGTGGGAAGTGGGAAGTGGAAAGTGGGAAGTGGGAAGTGGGAAGTGGGAAGTGGGAAGTGGGAAGTGGACAGTGGGAAGTGGAAAGTGGGAAGTGGAAAGTGGGAAGTGGGAAGTGGGAAGTGGGAAGTGGGAAGAGGAATGTGGGAAGTGGAAAGAAGGAAGTGGGAAGTGGGAAGTGGGAAGTGGGAAGTGGGAAGTGGGAAGTGGGAAGTGGGAAGAAGGAAGTGGGAAGTGGGAATTGAAAAGTGGGAAGAGGTCTTTTATTTTCCGTAAGAGTTTTACGGCAGTTGCGACACAACAAGGTCATATAAGTGCCGAAGATTAGAGTTGTTAAAAGAGAGTGACAAACACAAAAAAGAAGAAGGGGAGATAAAGACGATAGATGTTTGACAGGAAAGAAGGAGCGAATCACACCAGAGCACCTGCCAGTCTCCCGAGGGAAGAGGTAATTTGTACAGTGAGTGTCTAGGACAGGTGGCCGTTAGAGTAGGTCCGACTGTATATCAGAGTTTTCAAAATATGATTGGTTGATTCAAATTAATTTCAAAAACTTTAAAACATTTCTGAAGAATCTATATTCTTAACGCAAACAAAAACATTTACTTTGAAAAGAAAATCAGTTGCTAAAGTTAGTGGGCAAAATTTATTTAATTTTGCAATAGACATAACTAAGTAATTTTATAAAATCGAATAATAAGAGAAAACATTCGTTAGAATATTACAATAAAACGGTACCATTCTCGGGTAAAAACAGAAAACAACAAACAAAAAAGTGAACAAACCTAGATCTAGATATTTATACATGTAGTAAAGAAATGGGGAAATCCCCAATAATTCCATCTGCCTAACCATAGAGGTGACAACTGTTCACGTAAAAAACCAAAAACCCTTGAACTTTTGAGACATCTCTAGTCTATATATCTAGTCTATATCTCTAGTCTATTGTAATTTAGGGCTTCTCCAATGAGGACTAGTTTTATTGTCAGTCCTTCTCATACCAAGTTCGCTCATGCTCATACTTAATGAGGGGAAGTGACTGTACATATTAAGCAAGGGAAAGTAACCCTACATACTAAACAAGGGGAAGTAACCCTATATACTAAGTGCAAGAGGAAGTAACCATACACACTAAGCAAGGGAAATTGACCCTAAATACTAAAAAAGGGGAAGTAACCTTATATTCTAAACAAGGGGAAGTAGCCCTATATTCTACATAAGGGGAAGTAACCCTACATATTAAACAAGGGCATCAACTTACCATTGTCATCGTAAGAGGTGAGCTGTGGGGAGACAAGAGAGACAAACAGATAGTGAAGTTGTCAAGAAAACACGATAAAAAAATCAAACCAAATAAAGAATAAATAAACCATTCCAACTTTTAACACACACACACACACACACACACACACACACACACACACACACACACACACACACACACACACACACACACACACTACACAGTCTCTCAACCTATCCACCCGTAACATTTTGTTCCAAGGTCAAAGGTCATAATTGAAGCGTGTGTTGTCAACGTTCATAGAACTAGGAGAATACTGACGGAACGACCGAAAGTTGCTTCGTTTGTTTGGTTATTATATAATATGTTTATTGTTCGTTCGTTTGTTTGTTTGTTTGTTTGTTTTTTTCACTTTGCGTATTCTTTTTAATATGGCTTCATTTTTATTCATAGTATTGTTTTCGACCGTTCATATTTTTTCCCTTCGAAGCATTGGTTTTATTTTTCACTTTTAAAAAATGCGCATGCATAAATTAATTCACATGTATTTGTTTCATAAAATTATAGTAATATAATATAATATGACGTTTTATTTACTATTTATTTACTGTTTCTCATTATTTTGTCTTTTGTTTTTGTGTTTGTTGTTGCTGTTGCTGTTGTTATTGTTGTTGTTGTAGTTGTTATTGTTATTGCTGTTGTTGTTGTTGTTGTTGTTTTATTTTTTGAATAATTTTTTTTTTTGCGGGAGAAGTGGTGGTGATGGTGGTTGTGAGATATTTGTAGTTTCCAGCGAGAAAACAAGTCTGAACAGGGGGTTTTGATGGACATGTGTGTGTGTGAGTGTGTGTGTGTGTGTGTGAGTGTATGTGC